AAAGAGAGCGTTTCGTGATTTACATAGGAAAGTAAAAAGATGATAAAATTGAAAGATTTATTATTTTATTTTATCATAACAGAGAGAGAGATTTTGAGTAATCATGTGGAATACGGGTAAGAAAATATTTTTCGGAAATATATCCACGATATATTATCGGGAGTCTAATCTTTCTTATAACATATACCAGATGATAGATCTTTTCATTTTCAATCACATACGTGGACGCGAACGCATTTTTGAACAAATATAGCCCTTCGTAACAGTTATAAATAGATGATCAGGAACGTATATATCCGAGGAAGCTGTAAGAGATGCCAATGTCTTTCCAATACTAGATAAATCGCATAAAAAGCTGCTTTAAAGTCGGCTTCGAATGGCCGATATGGGAAACGTATTTCGATCTTTATTCTTTTGTTTTGCGAACCAAGCAACGCTCGCGAATAAAGATATAACATTGCGATAACATTTTTGTGTTAATACACGAAAGTGCGTATTATGTGAAATTTGCGAAACGTCTGTTTACGAAAACTTCTAAATGAATAAATAATATTAGCGAGATTGAATCGTGGATATCATAATGCGTGCAATTCGGCAAATACTTTATTTTCAAGGAAAACATAATAATCCGTTCCATTAATCAGACAAAATTTATGAAACAATGTAAATACTGGTTACAAATATACCGATGACCAAAATTCGAAATATAGCGCGGTTAATTCAGGTGTAGTATTTATATTTCGATTCGGCACGGTTATGAGTACAAAACGGAAATCAATTTCCCGAGGGCAATAGAGTTTATTATATTTTGTAAGAAAATCTAAAGGAACAAGGAATTTTCTGATTAAAATTTCTTGAGAAAAATCTAAAGTCTTTCTTTCTGAGATTTTTCTTTCTTTTAAATATTACGGGCAGTAAAATAACGTCGAGTATTTTCAAAAATTATACGCTACACTCTAAACAACAGCGTATAATTTTTAATGTATGCTGGTAATATAAATATATATATGCTACGGTAGTGTATGAACTAAAATAAAGTAGACGGGGTTAGATAAATATAAATACTTAGTGTATATTTCTATACAAAGATACACAAGAAATATGTTGAAACTACTTGGAAATCAACAATTTTACAAAGTAAAGTGGGTACACATTTCTTGACTGAAATTAATTACTTCGAATCGCGAGATGCATTTGCGCTTTGTAGTTTACTCGAGTTTAAAACGAAGAAAAAAAATTTACGACAAATTTCAACATTTATAAAAGGCGATAATTTCACAAAAGGTATTGTGTGTGCATCGTGTCCACATTCTATCGTTCCCTTAATGCGAGTTTTCCCGTAGCAAGTTCGGAAAGGGAGGTGGCTCCCGGAGCAGACATTACGCGGAATTAAAAAAGGAAGCCATCTCGATTAAGCTAACAGTGACTGCGGAGGCGTTACGCTCCCCCGACAGTATTACTTCCGGATAATTACGTGAAATTTTACACGGTTCATTGGTTCGCTACTTCAGTGCGGTTCGATCACTTTTAGAGTACAGATATGGTCTCTTTGGATTTTTTAAAACATATTGAAAGACTTTTGTGCACATACAGTACGCATATATACATGTATGCGGCATTCTACGATAGATTGTGTGCATTTTCTTTTTCTTCTATTTTCCTTACCTAAACAATAACAAAATTATTGCAAACTAATATCAAGTTAATGGAATAATTAGGTATGTGGTGTTGATTATACGAGTTATTACATGATGTGGCAATATTGATATAACTAGATGTTTAATTAATGTAATACTCGTTTAAATGAAAATGGACCGATGGGTTCGTTCATCCGGGCAATTTCTTCTTAAGTAAATCAAAAGTAAAAGTTTGTTCCCCACTCAAGTTTGTTTCCCACCGTCCGTCCCTATTAGCGAAGAATGAACTCTCTTCTTATTACGACAACCAGTTTAAGCTAGTCTCACATTATACGCGGACGAGGAAGGGAGTTCAGCTAGTGCGTATATATCCCGAACCGGATTTGTTCGGTCGTTCGCCCTTCTGTCCGCGGTCCTGCACCTGCTCCGAGTATGGTCGGTGCATGAAAAAGCGCATCCGTACAATCCGAATGAACGAACGAACGAACGAACGAACGAGCAAACAAAGAGAGCTCGGTCAGTGCAGTCAAGTGCACTGTATAGTTTACGTCAAGATCGTTGAAGCATTTTTTTCAGCACGGCATCTCTTTTCACGAATTTATTCTTGTACGTACTCACATCGTGAGTTTTTCTTATCTATCTTTCTTTCTTTCTTTTCTTTTCTTTTCTTTTTTTTTTTTTTTAAGAAAATATAGACATTATCGAAAATGGAATAATAAAGACAAATTTCACCGAGGTGGCCAGCGATACTTGGATTACCGCAAAAGTTTCTGTTTCATGAGCTTCGCTGTCTACCGAGCTTTCCTCCGCAGCCGCTTTCCTTCGTAGCATCTGATATAGGGAGCTGGAAGATTCAACAGACCGAGTTCAGCATTACGGATTAATATTCTCTGGAGGAAGCACGTAACCTCGCGCCGTCGAGCTCTCGTTATTACCGTCTGTGGTGTCGAATGAGATGCCTCTCGCGCGAGGCTGCAGCCCTATATTCCGAATTCTCTAGCGAAGTTCCCTGGCGAACGCGAAGCTCGCGTGCTCATCGCGTTCAGGGTACGCGCTTTCCTTTCATAGTTCTTTCTCCGTGTCTTTTGATCCGCGTCGTCGTGCAGTGAAGCGAGAATCGTCCGTACTCGTAATTTATTCTCACAGTCAAGTAAATTAATTATTTGCACGCCAACGCTCACACTTGACGGAGTCGAATTCGTGAAATGCGCCGATGTGTAACGCGCTTTACGGTTTACAGCAGTCAATTTTAATTATTGTAAACTTCATTTTTATTGACAAAAAAGAAAAATGGATCGATCAACAGTTGGCATTTTTTTTTTATCAACGAATGTCGCCGATGACACAATAACGTTAATCTGATAAAATTTTCATCGAGCATTCGCGAATGCCGGATATAATATCTTAATGAAAATAATTGAGGCGTATACATGTACATACGATCGTAAGAAAATATCGAACGAAAAAGTATTCAGCGCGAACTACACGTACAAAACACGCGCGCGCGTCGTTAGCATGATATACAAAATTAAAATTTCAATGGTAGGGCATCGGAATTACGATGCGATATTTTCTCGAGGAGGCACGTAACAGCCGGGGCTGTCGTGTTTCGTTATCATTGTCGGCGGCGCCGAGTAGGACACGCCACCTCCTCTCTCGCTCTATAATCCACCTCGTGCTCCAAATTCTTTATTAAACGCCTAAGAGATTTATTCGAAACTATGCTCGAGATTCCATTAAACCGGCTTAATAACATTCGTTCTTAACGCGAACGATTGTCTCGATTTAGAGTAAGATAAAAACTTTAGGAGTGGTTTGGAAATGTGCGCGTCACGCTCCTACTCTTTTCAATTTCGCGATATGCGTGGATCTGTTTTATTATTTTAGAAATAATTATACTAAAATGCAAATTATGTTACGCAAAAAAAAAAAAACACATAAAAAAGGACTGCGACCGTATTTTTCTTTCCGCCCGAACATGACGCGTATCTCATATAGTGTTTTAAATATTGTACATACAAATCTAACCACGCAATGCAATGATTTTGATTCGCGCATTCGTCGCAAAAAAATACTACCTTTCGAAATATACCACACGAAAAAAAAAAAAATCTTAATTTCAAAGAAGTATCTCTCTGCTCGTATTAAAAAAAAATTATTCCTTTGGATCAATAAAAATTTCTTTGAAAATACATCTTATTTTCAAAGAAATTTTCATTGATCCAAAGAAGTAATTTTTTTTTTTTTAATACGAGCAAAGAGATATCTCTTTGAAATTGAGATTTCTCTTTTTCAATACATGTATATACCTTGCCATATAAGAGTTTATTTTATTTCCAAACGCGATTGGATATAATTTTACAATGACTTTGAAAAACGCTCTTTACAGAATGCTTTGTTCAAAGAGCATCGCCGTCTCTTCTGGCTTGCAGAACCCTTTACAGCGTCCTTGCGATACCTTGCGAATTTCCTGCGGGATAATAAACGAACGCTTTGTAAATAGATGCGCCTCATTTCGTTTTTCTTTCGACATATTCTTCGCGAATTCTCGAAACGCAATGTATTTATGACATTCCAACGGCCGAGATTGGAATTCCATTAAAGTTAAATGCTCCGAATGTTAAACGTTAAAATGTCGAATTTAATATTATAATATTCCACATAATTACACAACAATGTAACAACATCAATGAATGGTAGAAAATACCACAAGTGCCTAATTTATAATTACAAACGTTCTCTGTTTAAAACAAAATGTATGACAGATTTGGTATTAAAACAAAAATGTGTGCGGACTGAAAAGTAGATATTAGAAGTTGTAACGCTACGCTATTCGGGCATTGAAATGGTTTGTTAAATTTATAAGTATACACGGCGCTTAGTTTTCTCTCGAATATAAAAGATAATGATACATTTCTCGTCGGCACGGCGTCGCGAAAACGCGTGCAGGAAACTGCAAACGACGCCTTATACACGTAATCTCGTGGTATCGTGAACGGCATTCCACGCGGGTTGGCGGTATTATTACACTTTATACCGTATACGATAACTCATAATCTCTTTTGCAGTAAAACTCCGAGAAAGTCGCGCGAATTCTTTTCCGATGCGCCGTGTAATTCGCTCCGTAATGTTCTCCCGCCTCCGGTCGTGGCGGGCAGAAGTCACGTAGCTGCATTTAGCCAGCATCCTCGCCGCGGTCGGCGCGACGCGACGCGACGCGACGCGGCGCGGAGGCACGACCGAGCGGTGTGCAGCGCGGCGCGGAGGCGAGAGGTCTCTGCACTCTCGCGGCCTTCGTTTGTACGCGTATCGTTCAGCGTACGTACCTACGTACGTACATATACGTAGTATATACGTACGCACTTGTCGTGGATTTTCACGAGGCCGTACGGTGCATCCGCTCGTCGAAGCAACGAGCAACGAGCGACGCGGCAGCGACGTAGGACGCGTGGCGTGCGCATGCGCCGTTAAACCACCGCCACCATCGTCGCTGCTGCTGCCGCCGCCGCCGCCGCTGCCGCCGCCGCCGCCGCTGCTGCTGCCGCTTCCAGGCGTCGCAGCACCGTTCACGCTGCCTCGC